CAAACCCTCAGGGCACCGTGGTGCAAGTCTACATAGGGCCTCAGCCTCCTCGCCACCCAGGGGACCCGGATGTGACCTCAGGTCTGACGCGTCCCAAGTACAGCGCTCTTAGTCACTCTGCCACTTGAAGCATCGCCCCGCCTGGGCCCCTGGCTCCTGTAACGGGCATCGCCGAACGTTCTGCTGAGCACAACCGCACGTCTAAACGCACGGAGCCTATTCAAACTCCACTGGTGAGAAATAATCGCCACAGGCTGCTGAGAACTTCCTGCACGCAGGCACTGAACTCAGCTCTTACACACCCACTGTAAGGGAAAAACTGTGATTTTCCCCATTTTACACGTGAGGAATTTGAAGCACAGAGAATGGGCCAAAGTCTGAGCTGGGAAAGGTGGAGGCGGGACTCACGCCGCAGTGAGGTCAAGCCCGTGCTCCTAAGCCGTGCAGGGTTCGGGGTGCCAGCAGCCTGGCCCGCCTGGAACCCCGGGCTGGGTAAAGCACGCACCATGCTCATTTTCAGCACATTCTGAGAACAGCAGCTCCTCCTTGAAGCTGGTCCACGTTGACACTAATGACAAAAACAGTTCTGACATGTAAATTGGCTTCTGAGAAACTGCCGGCCTCCACTGCCACAGGCTGGGAGTCGGGCACAATGGCGGACAGGTTGATTCAGTAGGGAATGCTGGGGGGGACAAAATGCCACCCTGAACACGTAGGTACCCTCTCACGAGGCTGCTGCCACTGGGACCCCTCAGACAGGCGCCCTTTACAATGCAGCCCCCACTCTGAGCCCTAGCCTCTGTGACCCAACCCACCACCGTGCTGATGGGGTTCTAGGCCACAGTTTGTAAGCTGAACACAGCTGTGAGGTATTACACTGCAAAGTTGTATCTGCATTAACTCGCCAATTTTTGATAAAAATTTTCACTTGTTAAGAGTCACCGGGGAACCAGGAAGCCACAGCTCCGAACTTGCGAACTTCCATTTTCCTCGCTCTCTGCCAACCCTTAGCTCACCGTCTGCCTGGCTTCCTCTAAGCCCCGGATGGTGCTCCTGCGGCCCCCCTCGCAGAAACGAGCAGAGCTGCAGTTCTACCCTCAGTTATCGACAGCCTTTGGAAATTTGAATCTTCAAAGGCTGAGCTCACCAGGCAAAACCTTTGCTTTGGGGAAGTGGTTACACCGCGAAACAGGCGCCCTGTTCGCAACGCCCCTTACTTGGTACTCCCCCCGCCCCCGCCCCCGACCCCGGGCAATGCGCCCGAACACAGCCGCTAACGTTCTGTAGAGCGATTCCCCTCTCACGCTTTCATTCTCTGCTCATTCGACAAATATTTACTGAGTACATACGACGTTCCAGGCACGGGGATTACGACAACGGCTCTCGGGATGCAGACCTCCGGAATCGAGTGAGCATAACCCTCCTGTCCTGCCCTGGTGCTTCCAGAGAACTTCGGGGGGCAGTGAAAGGGGGAGGCCCCCGGGTGTGTAAGTCGTAGGAGTGGAGGGAGAAAAGAGAAGATAAGGCACTAAAGACCAACAGAACGGCAAAGAAACGCTAAGCTTTACAGTCGTCTGCTGGTTAATAGGAACGTTGATATTGTTCTTTTAAAACTATTTTATATATGATGGCATAATACCAAAAAAAGTAATTATTTAATGTGTTAGGAACCAAAACTGTCAGTGTAAAAGACAACATACAAAAGTCAAGGGAATTAAGCCAACGACCCCGTCATGTTAGACTGCAGCTGGAAAGACCTTGCTCTATCAGTCTTGTTTCTGCAGGATAATGTGGTGTAACGAACAACCCTCAAATCTCGGAGGCTGACAGTGACCACGTGGATGTCATGCTCACAGGTCTGACGCGGGAATGTGGTTCCGCTGCTCTCTGCTGGGTTCCCGTGGGCTGGGCCAGGCTGGGCGGGAATTCAGGCTCTGGGTTAGGTTCCGGTCATCCACGGTGTCCTCGTGGTGGGATTCAGGCTAAACGAGCAATAGCGACCAGTACATCACGGAGAGCAGAAGTTCCAAGAGGACTGGGGGAAGCTGGTCACGTCTCTTACCACCTCGGCTCAGCACAGTCGCTTGTGCCTAAGCCACAGGGCCAAGCCGCCCACAGCAAAGTTGGGACAAGGATGAGGAGGGAAGGAAGAACCGTGGAGAATTAACACCTCCTGCCCTAATTATGAACTCACGATTTCTCCTTTTAAAAAAATTAATGTTTCCTAGCCCTGTCCGCCAAAAAGGCCTAAAAGCAACGGCAACCCAGTAGCAACGAATATCCTCTCGCCAGACTGTGGTTTCTAAGGATCATTCTCCACGAAAAAGAAACCAGCATCTCTGAAACAACGCCTGATTCCAGGTCTTCAGTAGGAAATATACAACCTAACACTGGTTTATCTGCTATGCCAAAGAGCAAGGAAGCCTCAAAAACAAGTGGGAATCACAGTTAAAAGGATGTAGGAGATGACTCGAAAGAGCTCCCACTGGTTAAGATGAGACAATTTAAGCGTCAAAAAGAACAGTAACTACGACTGACTGAAATGCAGATCCCCAACCATCCCGACCCTGTGGAATCTCCGAGGACCAAGCCCTGGCTCCTGCGTTTTCACAGGGCTTCCCTCTGACTCTCATGCGCAGCACAGGCTGCCTGACCTTCTGGGAGTCCAGGCTACGCACGGTGCCCACCCTGCTCTCAGATGCTGGCCTCTACTTCCTGGGAAGTCTTGCCTACAACAACCTTACACTTGCCCCTTATTCATGTCCTTCCAACTCTGGGGTGGTCCAGCCGTAATGTGGCAGGCATCTTCAAGGGGGAAAATTCCATTTCTCAGTCTGCTAACAAAAATAAAAACAGCAGAAAGGCTGGGGCAGCCCCCAGGGTCCTCCTTTTAACCACAATCTTGACCATGACAACGAGGAACAAAACTTCCATTTTTAGCTAACAGATCATAGATCCAAGACAGTCAAGTTTGGGGTTTCTCCAAATTGCTTCCTCAGAGCAATCAGTTCTTAACCCTCTCTCTGCATTGGAATCACCTAGTCAACTTTTACAAAATAGGGCTGACTGCGCTCTGGACCCTGACCCAGAGATTCATATTCAGTGGTCTGGGGTGCAGACTGGGTACCCCATGTTTCAAAGGCTGCCCAGGTGATTCTGATGTGCACCCACAATTGAGAACCAATGCTCCAAGCTAAAATCTTAAAAGCAAAACATCTCCACCTTAATGTCTTGTCACAACTTGAAATCAGATATGCCTTGCACAAGGTGCAGTCCCAACTGCACTGCCCTGGGGAAGACTTGGTCTGCCCCTCCTCGTGCCTCTGACAACTGCCCACCCCTCCTCCTGCGATCAGCCTGAGCAGGGGTCCCGGCTTCCCTGGGCACACGCAGGTCCAGGGCTTGGGGCTCGTGGCATGCTGGGCTGCCCTCCTCGCCACTCAGGTCAAAGAAGAAAGATGCAAACGTCCACCAAGCTCCAGATCAAAGCTAAGCTGGGAACAGGAGCAGGAAGAGCTTCAGCGGAGACCTCATTACACAGCGACTTCCCCAAAAGGCTCCAAGAGGCAGTGAGTTGCTTCAGTTTTTTGTTGTTGTTTTTTTTTTAATTAGAAAGAATAGATAACTCCACATTAGAAGAAAACAGAAAAAGACTGGAAGTCAGCCAATTCAAAAAAAGTAAACACGGCTTTGTTGCCCAAACCTAATGAACACGACATGCATGTGTGAGCACGCGCACACGTACGTACACAGACACACACACAATAAGACAAATGGTTGCCACATCTTCATATAAACGGTGAACCCAGCCAACAATACTAGTTTCCTCCTAATTTGCAGTAGGTTAGATGACAGGGCCCAGAAGGCCTGGATCCTTGGTCTGACTTTGTATTAAAATATGCTGTTCTTCTCAAAGCCCCAACAGCTACCACACTGTAAGAAGGGCACAGTGCCGAGAGTGTTCCGGAATGCACGGCGTGGTTGCAGCAGACACGTGTCGACCTCTCTCCCCACCTACACCCCTCTTCTCTGACACCTGCGCCCATTCATGAGGCTGGGTCCCCTCAGCTGCGCCTGCTCTTCTTGGCCACATATTCCTGACCCAGGCCACTGAACCGCACGGGACTCAGCTGGCCTCGGTCTGGAAGGTGACTGAAATGGGGACCACGTAAATGGGGACTTTCGGGGAGGCCGTGCGGGACAGCAGGGACAGACAGGAAGAGCAGGAGGGAGGAAGAGAGGGAAAGAAGGGCCAAGAAGCAGAGACGGCTCACGTCCTGGCTGGCTCTCTGGCTGCTTGAACCCCATGCCTGCTGAGTCTGTAAAATGCCCTTTTCCTTGTAATAAATGCTTCTCCTACCTATTACAGCTACCTTGAAATGCATTTCTATGACTTGCTAACAAATAACGAACCCTGACTAAAATAACTACAAAGCCTCATGATCAACGGTGAAGCACTTCTAGGAAATTTTTTAATCAACTTTTTAAAGTCAACTTTGTTCTCTTTATTGAATATGCTGTTTCTAAAAATGTACAATTTAATGTAAATGTGTACGTGTCTTCCTGTAGCAACTGGTTTCAAAATCAGAAACAAGGCAACCACCAAAATTTGAGATCAACAAAAAAGAAAACTCTTTAGAAAAATGTTCCCTCACACCCCCTTCTCGACAGCGGCCATTTTAAGCTGGGGCAAGTAATTAGGTGGCAAGACCTGACTCAGGCGTGGGGGCCATGGGTACCAGCTGCCCCCAGCCCTGCCAGAGTGGGCCAGATACGGTGACATTCCCTGGAGAACCCAAACACCTGGCTCAAAGAATGCGTACCATCGAGAAGGCAAAGTTCCTGGACGTTCACTTTAATCAGGGTTTAAATCAATAACATGCATTTGTAATGACTTCAGTCGAGAAACTGCGAAACGGATTCACTCCAGCATGGCTGGCTCGACCTCTCTTCCCAGCCACGGCGCTAGTATAGAACGGTATAAAGGACAAGGTACAGACCTCTGGCTGGATGGCTTTAAACACGGGTATGTCCATTAATGTGATCTGACTCTGCAACGAAAGAGAAGTGGTGTTAGAAGACGCAGAGCTGGCAGTCACGTCGCTTTGAATCTGCGCAGCATAATCGCACATTCTTAAGCTTATACTTGCCCCATGAATGCAAATCAAGACAGAACAGAGTGAAAAACAGGCGAACTTCTAAAACGCCTCTCCCATCCCCTCCCTCTTCATGAATCTTGATCCACACCCTTCTTTCTTGAATGAGAGACAAGCGTCCAATTGAAGAATTGGTAATAGTAGTTTGGAGGGCGGGACTGAGAGGGAGGGCAGCATTTTTCAGTTTGGATATTTTGTACAATTTAAGGTTTTTGTTAGTTTCAAGGATGAATTACTTTTATAATTTTAAAAAGCTGACAATATTAAAAATTAGACTGTTAAACAGAGACATTATTACTCTAAATTTGTTAAAAACCGTGGCTTATAGAAATCTTACATTTCTTGTGAATGCTAAGCCTCTTCTAAATTACATCGTAGCGTGCTATGCGAGATGCCTCCGCAGACCAGTGTGTGGCTGCAAACCATTTATGTTGCCAGCCCACAAGGAGATAACTACAGAATTTGAGAGCAAGCGTTTGGAAACTCTATAGCAAGCTGCCACGCCATTTTTATTGTATTTCTTTTAAGTCTCAGTCCTCTACAGATTGGAAATGAAAAAAAAATTAGTCCCTTGCCACAGCTAGCTTGAGATGCACTAATGTCAAATACAGAAACACACATCCGGTTAAAAGGCTGTTCCCATTGTTAGAAGCTTATCGGGTGCCAGTAAGAGAGGCGTCATTGCTGACAGTTTTGAAGGCCATGGCATGGACTGAGCTGACTTCACATGACCTGCCTATCTCCACATGTCACATGGGATGCCAGGTGTCCGTGAACAGACGCCTCTGTGACAGGCCAGGGAGAGGAGAGCTGAGGGCCTTTGGACGCCTCCTGCCAGGAGAAAACGCCCTCTCCTCTGAGCACAGGCCGTCCGGGACTGCATGATGCCACGGAACAAACGTGGGCGCTGGGATCCGCGGGGCCTGGCCGTGTGTCTGGACGCTGTCGCTCAACAGAAATGTTTTATTTGACACCTGACAACCTCCCCCAGTCTCAGGTGTCACGTCTAGAAAACAGTAACAATAATCTCTATCTTATAGGATCTTCGTGAAAATTCAAGAGGTGCAGAATGTGCAGAGAGGATCTGTGTGTATATATAGTACACACACACACACACACACACACAGATACACACACACACACAGATACACACACACGGAGCATCTTTCAGGTCCCAGGCATTCTCATCTTGAGTTCTCACAAAGATTTTATATATATATATATGGATGTGTAAGTGTGTATATGTGTATATATATGCAAAAGAGGAATCAAATAGATGGGCTTATTAACTGGCATGTGAACTTATGGTTCTTGACCAATACATGAACTAGGAAATAAGGGATTTAATATCCATGCATTAAAGTTGCTCTAGAAAATACTTAAAGGAGGCTGTTACATTGAGTTGGCAAATACTGGCATAAAAAAAAAAAAGCTTCATGTCAACAACACACTGGAGAAAAATGGCGACACACAGCGTGTCAACCGTAACCACAATCCAGGGCTCAGGTGCACAATTACGGACACCTGTTGGCGCGACTTAAAGGCAGCCCAAGATCACTGGGTTCCTGAGGAGCACAGCAGGCAGACTATGGCACACCACCCCCGGGGCTGAGTGGGAGCGGGAAATAAGCAGGTGGCTTCAGCGGGGAACCTCTTTGCCCCCTGTAAGGGACGAGTGCTCTTCAGGGGCACAAACGCTGCCACCAGTGGAGGCTCGGCAGAGGGACAGCAGATGGCGCCAGGAAGGAAGAAGCTCCAGGGATGCGCGCTCTTCCACCTCTCGGCACGCCCACCGGTGGCAAGGGGGCAGCGGACATCAGCACGCGTGCATCTGGCCCTCCTAAGCTGGGTGTCGGGTGAGGACCAAGCCCCGAGGCCCACAGGCCTGCGTGTCTGGCCCAGGCAGTGCAAACAGACTGCTGTTTCTCCTGCCAGACCCAGGGAGATTGCTGGCCAGGTACTCCTGACATCTGGATTAATTCTGCCATCCTGGGGAACAGAAAAGCCTTGTAAAAACAGGAGATTTGAGCTGAGCACTCAGAGGGCCTTGGAAATCCCTCCCGCAGTTGAAGTTAACGCCCTATGCAGGAGAACCGGCAGGATGTTTGCAATGTCATTTAGGAAAGGAACCAAAAGTCTGCTAATGTGAAAATGAGAAAACTTCCTTTCCATCCGCCGTCGGTTCTCGGGTTTGCTACTGAATCTCTAAACGATCTATTAAAATATAGACTTTACATTTCATATTTTTTTTGGATGGTCCAAGTTTTGAATATTCTGGTCCCCGCTCAGACTACAAATCAGAAAATGTGTTTAGGAGTTCTATTCAAAACAAACAAGAACAACAGAGGTCACCAGATTTAAAACAGACTGGCTGGTCCCAAACACACAATCTGAGGGTCTTTAGAATAATCTCTCATTTCTATCCTCTCAACTCTCACCAAAAAAAAGATGCAGGGTCCAGTACGAGAATATACCAACATACGGGTAAAATCGTCCAATTATAAATTTCATGTTACTTCACTACAAAGCCAAACACGTGTGGAAAAGGTTGCCGACAAGCAATCCTTCCCAGAAGTCTGAGCTCTCAAGACAGGCAGTTTTACCAAAGAGGGAGGGTGTGGATAGGGGTGGGAACCTGAGGGGTGAGGCCAGGTCTTATCCCCCTTCATGGCCAGCTCTCAACCCCCTGGAGAGAAAGGCCATCTCCTAGGGGTGTGGCACAGCCTTGACAGAAACACGAGACAATTAGATTCCTGTTTCCAAGTAGCAAACCTGCTCAGTGGGGAGCACGTGCCTGGACTGGCAAGGACACTCATTAACAAGCATCTTAATGGCCTCTCCTTACTTCTGGGAATAAAGCCTTAACGCAGGATGTCCAATTAAGCCAGTCACTTGGCAATGCTTTCCTTAATCATAACCCCTTCTGCCATCTCCTTCCTAGTCCAGGGTCCCCTAAAAATCCAGGCTTTTTAGGGAAATGGCCAATCTCAATGTACCACCTAATATTTTTTTCCATATGAATCTTTCAGAGTAGAGAGACCTATATGGCCACTTCACATGTGGCCTTTAAGAAAAAGCTGGTATTCTGTGGATAAACGAAAGCTACTTAGCCCAAAGGAAAAAGACACGGTTTTGCATATGCTGAATACAGTGTGTCTCTCCCCTCTATCAGCGACTGACTAAATCCTCTCTTCCCAGCTACAGCTTAGTGTAAGGCTCCTCCGGCCCCCAAATAAACTAGCAACAAAAAAAACTGCTGGCAAATCAGTGGCACATCTTACAACAGAAGAGCTCTTTTAATTTGCATTTAGATCACCCCACCAGTGCTTAACCGGAGCTCACAGAACCAAAAGTAATCAGCTCCAAAGATACATTCTGCTTCTACTCCCAGAGCCACAGGAAGCACGTGTCTGGCAATTTTAGAATCGCAGTCAAGGAAATGCACATTAAACAGGAAGATGTCACATGTCATCTTTCAGTGCCATCACAACTGATGGGACCAGGCACTGCTCTGTTCTTCTGGAAGGTAATCTGACAGTAATTCACAAAGTCTTTAGCTTTTTCTTTTTTTTAAACGTCAAGCTTAGAAGAAAGTTGCCAGAATATGACGACCTTTATAACCGACCTTTCACCTAGCTTAACTACTTATTAACCTTTTGCCTCATCTGCTTTCTCTCTGTATATATAATTATAATCACACGTTTTTTCAAACCATTTGAGAGTAAAATGCAGATATTCTGACTCTTCACTCCAAAATCTTTCAACATGTTATTTCCCAAGAACGAGATCATCCTCTAAATAACGTCAAACTGATTACTTTCAGGAAATTTTATCATTAGTACAAAACAGTATTATCTAACATGGAATCTGCAATCAAACTTTGATAATTATCTCAGTACAGTTTTTACAGCAATTTTTTCTTGATCTGGGATCATACGTTGCATTTAGATACTATCTCCTAAAAAGTGAAATAGCATATTGTTGACAAAACAATCCCTATACCTACAGAAATAAAAGCACTAGTATATAAAGAGATTTTATATAGAAATCTACGTTTAGATACAAGTATACATATAGATGTTTACTGTGCCATTATTTTTAGTAGCAAAAATCTGGAAACAACCTAAAAGGCCATCAGAAGGGATTTGTTAAAAAAATCACAGTATATCCACACTCCTGAATATTATACAGCTATTAAAAATAGAGGATTAGATCTATACATATTGACCTGGAAGGATGTCCATATCTATTGATGATAAGACAAGTTCCAGTGTTGCTTTTTGCTCTGCTTTCAGACATTGGGGGTAAAAGGACTGAGATCTACCTGCAGAGTACCCCCAGTAAAAAAAAAAAAAAATTGAAGACCTTTTAAATGATTTTCACCTTTTTTAATACAAAGTAACACACATTTATAGAAAACCACATTAAATGAATGCATGGTTTGACAACTTATTATAAAAGGAACACTTTATAACCACTACCCAGGTCAAGAAATAGCCACCCCAGTTGACAGATGAATAGACAAATGTGGTATGTACACTCAATGGAGTATTATGCAGCCTTAAAAAGGAGAGAAATTCAGACACTTGCCACACGATAGACAAACCTCAAGGACATATACAAAGTGAAATAAACAGTCATAAAAAGACAAATACTGTATGATTCCACTTATATGAAGTGCCTAGATTAGTCAAATTCACAGAGACAGAAAGGTGAATGGTGGCTGAGGGTAGGGGGAATGAGAGTTGTTTAATGGGCACAGAGTTTTTGGTTTACAAGATGAATACAGTTCTAGAGATTCGTTGCTCAATGATGTGAATGTATTCACACCACTGACCTTAAAATGGTAAAGACGGTAAATTTTATGTTGCGTATAGTCTACCGCAATTTTTTTC